GAGCCGCGCCGCCGCCGCCCGCAGGCCGCGCTTTGTTCCTTCCCCAGCTCCACCGACTCCGCCTCCGACCCACCCCCCACACAGAGGCGGGGCCTCTCTTAAAAAGGCAAGGGCTGCGGGACCGCAGTGGCATAAAGGAGAAAAGCTATAGGGGTGCCAGAAAGGGGAGCGAGAAAGGGGAGCAGAGAGGCCAAAAGAGGCCGGTGTGGTTCTTTGGAGGCTTTTTGCTGCCCCACCCTTACATACTTGGTTCTGCACAATTACCCTCCCAAGGAAAAGGATGTGAAAGTGGAGAGTCAGTAGCCTGGGGCTCAGGAGACGGGGGACCCGGGGTGTACACGAGGTGATACAGGTGGTAGCATCCAGGCGCTCCGAGGGGAAGCCACAGGTCCGAATTGACTGAGGCGGCTTGGGGGGAAGGAAGGAGAGCCCCAAGAAAAGACAAATGCTGATGTGCCCTTGAGGTGGCTAAGACCTCATCCTCAGCGTGAAGTACCGCAGGCCTCACCATCTACCCCTCATCTTGGCTGCACAACTCATCTTTCAAGGAAATCTTTTCAGGAAGAGCAGACAGTGGAAAAGGTGAGAAGCAGAGAATAAGAAAAATGTGAGAGGAGCTGGGACTGGCATGCACACTCAGACCCAAGGAAAGAACAGACCACACGGAAGAACAGCAGTTTTTCTAGAGGGTTTTTCTCGGGGGCGGGGGGGGGGGTGTCTTAGTGCTGCAGCTGTTTCAGGCTGCCCAGGGCGTCAGCACATGCCCGAATTAGGCCACACAGCTGGATACTAGTCTCCAGAGAGGTGCTACAGCTCAGCTCATTTGACGCCCAGGTCAGCTTTTGCAGGAGGGCCTCTTGTGTGCAAGATACCACATCTGCATTTGGGGGCGCAGCAGGAGGGGGCGGACCCTGGGCTGCTTTGAGCCCTGCTGCAGCTCCCTCGCAGTGCTCTGGACGGGGTACAGGGGGCTGAGGTGTGGGCCGAGAGCTCAAGGGGAGTTCTGTGGCAGAAGCAAGCTGATGTTCCCGAGCCTGTGAGAGGGCAGCCTGAGCATTCAGAGCTAAAAGAAGAAGGGGGGGATAGTCAAGATATCTGGCTCACCTCATCCCTGAGCCACCTGCTCTTTTCTCTCTGCTCTTTCTGTGCTGTTTTCCCTGATTTATTAATTTATGTATTTGTGGTTGTAGGGCCTGGGCGCTGGCCCTCAGCTCTTCAGCTCAAGGCTAGCACTCTACTACTTGAGCCACAGCGCCATTTCCGGCTTTTTCTGCTTATGTGGTGCTGAGGAATCGAATCCAGGGCCTCATGCATGCAAGGCAAGCACTCTACCACTGAGCCACCTTCCCAGCCCCCCTGTTTTTTGTTGGCTTTTGTCAGTCATGGGGCTGGGACTGGGTGCTGCCCCTGAGCTCTTCAGCTCAAGGCTAGCGCTCTACCACTTAGAGCCACAGCACCACTTTTGGTTTTCTGGTGGTTATTGGAGATAAGAGTCTCACAAACTTTCCTGCTCAGGCTGGCTTCAAACTGTAATTCTCCTATCTCTGCCTCCTGAGTAGCTAGGGTAACAGATATGAGCCAGTGGCTATGTTTTGTTTTGAGATGGGATTTCACTAAATATCTGAGGCTGACTCACTCATTCATCATTCTCCTGCCTCAGCCTCCTGAGTGCTGACATTACAGCCATGGTCCACTAAGCCCGGCTCTTTCCGGCCTCCTTGCATCTTACTACAGCGCTACGGTGCTAGGCACACTTCACTTTCTATTATGTTATCAGTTTTTTAAGCCCTGGCTTTATCTCCCCATGAAAATTGTGTCCCAGGACTGGGAACACAGTCCAGTGGTAGAGAAGGTGCCTGGCATTCCTGAGGCCCGGAGTTCCAGTCTCAACAATGGAGGAAGGTCAGGTGATTAAGCTTACATTCTCCCACAGGTCCGCAAAAGTGCTTAGTGCTCCTAATGAAACGGATCTCTCTGAAGCAGACAGGAGAAAGCTCCTAACTTCCATTCCCCTCACAGACCCCACTGTCACCTCCCGGGCCTGTTCCTGAGCCTCTATTACCGCGCTGCTTCTCCACCGAGTACACTCGGCTCCTCACCGGGATTATCTTTATCCACATCTGAATCGAGTTCCTGACAAGCCACGCAGTAGATTTTCCGCTGTTTGTCTTGGAGGAGGATCGTCTGTGGACCGGAAAGCACAACGGGGCACGTGTAAGATGCTGGGCGGGCTAAGAGCTGTGCGGACTGGCCCGCAGCCCAGCCCCGGTGACTCCAGCGAGCCTTCTCTTAACTCACCCCGCAGTCCGCGCACGTTTCGCCTAACATGCGGTAACCGCGCAGCAGGTAGTCGCCCATGAGCCTGGAGATGCGATCCTGCCGCTCCCGGCGCGCCTGCAACACTTTTGTCTCCGCCTCAGTCGGAGGCTCCCAGGACAAGTCATCGATTTCTGGGGGAAGAGAGGCACAAAGAACCGGGGTGTTGGAGCGAGCTGCCCCTCGTACTCCGCAGCCCCAGGACCCGCTACCCCAGTTCTCACCAGCGCCATTCAGGGCCATGTTGCCGTGGTCACCAATGGTTCACCGGAAGTGACGTGTTTACGGTGCCGTCGGTGCGGTCCCGCCCCTTCCATATTGGCCCGACGTGAGGGCGGAAGTGACGCACCTCCGTGGTCTTCCGACTTCGCTTTGCCCAAAATGGGGCGTATGTACCGCAGCGTTGGCCGAGCCCAGGAGGCGTGTCATCAGCCGTCAGTCAGCTGTCCTCTAAGGGTTGGAACTGCCTCGGTTAGGCACGCTAACTCTCCTCCGGTCTCAGACTGAGAAGCGTCTGCACCGCGTCGCCTTTCCTGCCCGCCGTAGATGGAGGCTTGAGAAATCGTGGCGGCCTCCGCTTGCCTGGGCGTTGTCTTTCCCACACCGGCCACGCCAAGCCCGGGCCCGGCGAGGCAGCGGCGGCATCACACAGCCGCTGCAGCGCATGGAGCCGCGGACCTGGTGCTCAGACCCGCAGGGCTGGACAGGTGGGGGGTCATCATTAAGCTCTTTCCCCTCCTTGTGCAGTGTCCAGTCGGTCCATGCCTCCAACCAAGGCCTGGGACAGATGCAAAGCTACCCAGGAAGCTGAGATCTGAAGAATGCGGTTTGATGCAGCACTGGCAGGAAAATCTTTGACACTCTTATCTCTAGTTAACCACCAAAAAGCTGAAAGTGGAGCTCAAGTGGCTCAAGTGGTAGAGCACTAACCTTGAGTAAAACTCAGAGCACTAACTTGGAGTAAAAAAGCTCAGAAACAGTGCTCAGGCCCCAAGTTCAAGCCCCACCACCACAACAACAACAAATCTGCAAAAAGTACCCTGTTGGGGGGCTGGGAAAGTGGCTCAGTAGTAGAGTGCTTGCCTTACATGCATGAGGCCCTGGTTCCTCAGCACCACATAAGCAGAAAAAGCCAGAAGTGGTGCTGTGGCTCAAGTGGTAGAGCATTAGCCTTGAGCTAAAGAGCTGAGGAACAGCGCCCAGGCCCAGAGTTCAAGCCCATGTTAGAGAAGCCCTCTAATACACCAACCCTCCTGTGTTTTTTTTCCATGTATGTCCTCTTCTTTATTAGGTTGGGGATCCGTAGGGGCTCCCAGATAGCTTCAAGGTTATAAACCTAAGCAGTGGGAAAGGACGCTTAGAACTAGAGACCCATAATTTCAGCTGCAGCCTCTTTTGACTGTACAAACATGCTTTCACCATCTTACCTGAAGTGCCATTCTTTCCCCAGCCCCTGTGTTCACCCTCTCTTCCCCCCTACCTCCAGTCCTGGGGCTTGAATTCAGGGCCTGGGCTCTGTCCCTGAGCCTGTCTGTGCTCAAAAGCTAGGGCCCTACCATTTGAGCCACACCCCTACTTCTGGCTTTTTCTGTTTGTGTGCTACTGAGGAATCAAACCCACGGCTTCATGCACTCTACCACTAAGCCACCTTCCCAGCCCCATGTTTTTATCCTTTTAGGAACCCCAGAATTGCCTTTTCTCATCCTTGTTTTTTCCTGTTTATGAGCTCTGTGCCTCTCTTCATTCTCTATCACCAGCAGGCTCTTGGGCGTCACAGTAACTAACTCAGGACCTATACCCCAAATCATTTCTCCCAGGCTGACTAAAGGGACTGTCCATAAACCATCTCTTGTACTCCAACCTTTATGGACACACCTTCCAGCCCCATTCTGTATTCCCCAGTGCACCCTCTGGGATCGTTGTCATAGCCCAAACCCACTTAATTGCCAATTCTACCTGGTATCAACTAAGACCCTTACACTTCTCTTCCCACGAGGACTTTATGGAGACAGGTACTGCTATTGCTCCCAAACACAGCAGGAAGCTGAGTAATTTTTTTTTTTTTTTTGGTCGGCCATGGGGCTTGAACTCTGGGCCTGGGCTCTGTCCCTCAGCTCTTCAGCTCAAGGCAAGCGCTCTACCACTTGAGCTACAGCGCCACTTCTGGTTTTTCTGGTGGTTTATTGGAGATAGGAGTCTCACGGTCTTTCCTGCCCAGGCTGGCTTTGAACCGCGATCCTCAGATCTCAGCCTCCTGAGTAGCTAGGATTACCGGCCAGCGCCCGGCTGAGTAATTCTTTTGTGTGTGTGTTGGGCACTGGAGCTTGAACTCAGGACCTGAGCACTGTCCCTGAGCTCTTTTGCTGAAACCTGATCTCTATCATTGATGTGCGCCACAACTTCATTTCCAACTTCTTGCTGGAAATTAATTGGAGATAAGAGTCTCAGGGATTTTCCTGCCGGGGTTGGCTTTGAACTGTGATCCTTAGTTCTCAGTCTCCTGATAGCTAGGATTACAGGTAAGAGCCACTGGCACCCAGCAAGTAAATTTTTTTCTTTCTTCAAATATTTCTTTATTGAGATTGACTACATA